AAAAAGCCAACACCTTTAGAGGTTGTCCATGTATTTTGAAGTCCCTTCGTTTCTTGTGTGTTGATTTTTCCCTTGAGCACTTGCTAGTTTGAAGATGTGCATTCTGATAGTTCTGTAGACTAGGAGCCTGCATGGGTGATGCATCTTCTCTTTGCAAGGCCGGGATAGTGCTTTCTGTGCTGTGAGAACTGGATGATAGTTGTCCCTTCAGGTACTTGTGAGGAAGAACTAAGCCCAATTTGATCTCATGCACAATGTTGAAGTATGTGTTTCTTCAAATGTATTCTGCTTCAGTGTGTGTATTTTGATTTAATCTCCCAAATATTTTTCTGAAATGTGTCATTCAGATCTGCCAGCCGTGCCTTTCAAATACAAAACTCCTCCAGTTTTGATGTTTTGTGATTTATTTTTAGAAATGTAACAGTTCTGCCTCCTTTTCCTGAAGATACTTAAAAAATATGTTGGAATTGCCCGTTTTCTTCTGAGACTTCAATTGCAGTAAATGTCGCTACATGATGTGATATAGGCAACCTTAGTTTGGGTCTTAAGAAGAACATTGACATGTGCTTAGACTGGAGGCTGAGAGATTTAGGGTGAACTCAATTATCTTTCCTTTGAAGAGCGCTTATCAACCTTACCCAAAGTGGCTATGGGTTTAGATTTGCCCAGGATTTGCAGTTCTGTGGGCAAATGATACTTACACAGAATGACAGCAGAGGGACAGCATGGAAACCAGGAATTGTCCTCTGCTGGAGAGCCTGTAAGAGACCAGATCATCCAAAACAGGGGATAATGGTGACATAGATGATGTGTGTCCCTGGCAGCTGGAGCCCTGCACGCTTGCAGAGTATCTGCTGTAACCTACATTTCCAAAACCAGAGGGAGGAGTATCACCACAGGACTCTTTCTGTAGGGAGCAAGGGAAGTAACGCAGGTATAGACTGTTTACAAGCTGGTATAAAGAAGCAGTAAATTAAGCACTATTGTGCATTTTAGTCAGCTCGGTCCTCATACTAATCAGATACGATCTGAAGGCGTCAGTTCTGGCATAGGCAAAATCCCAGTGGAGTGAGTTCCTTCAGTTTATTTACACAGGTGCAAGGAACATGTTCGTGCATACATGCACAGAAAAATGACAGTTTTAACACCCAAAGTTGGGTCATTTTGCAAAGTAGCAGACAGATACGCAGAGAAATTCAGGAAGCAAAGGGAAAGTGGTACATCAGGGAGTATAAGGTGAAACTGTCAGTATCTCAGTAAAGGCATTTGTCACACAGGTGGACCTGGCAAAGTGCTACTTGTGGCTTCTGCCGTATGCTTTGAGCAAAGCATAGAGACAACTGCGTACTTCAGTGAACTATGATAAACCATTACCAGCCTGAATTTGTTCTCTGTTGACTGAATGCCATAAAACCACTGTATAGATCTCACTTTATATTTATATACCATTTCACGTGCACTCTTTGCTGAATTACAGCATTTTGATTGCTCATGAAATAAGGAGAGGTGTTGAGGTGACAACTGAAGTGGCGCGCATATATATATATATATACACACTTCAGAAACATGAAAAGGTTTGTTTCTGTATGTAGAAAAAACATCAGTAACTGGAGTGGATTGATTTTAAATCCATGAATTAAAATAAGTAATATAAGTGTGTTTCATATTAGCAAGGAAGAAACTTGATATAAATAATTGAGTTTAGTCCTGTGTTGAATTTGTACTTTCTAGTCATTTTCCAAAGGAAAGGTTGATTCTTACTGGTTTATAACATTGAAAAAATGGTTGATGCTCAGCTAAATGCATAATTTCAGGTGATACTTGGTACTTTTTTGTACAAATATGAGAGACAGAATTTATTGATTTTGTGTGATTTGCCTGATTCAGTAAATTTTGCTCTGATGTCAGTTTTCTAGATCTGTACATGCAGAAATCGTGTATTTCTAATTAGGTAGTTAACTTTCACTTAAGATATATTTAACCTCTGGTTTGGATAGAACTTCTTAATTAAATTAAAAAAAATCATAATCAGTGCTTTTAGTTAGCTCTGCGCAAGAAATTAAAAATATGGGTATATATTAAAAAGATTTAACAAGACATCTTTTGAATACAGCTTCCTTTGTAAGCAGGGAAAGTATTAATCATTCAGTGAACCAGAAACTGTTTCTGATATGTATGGTCCTTTAGATATGCAGGGATGATAGTTAACTGATACTGTTCTTTAATCATTGGTTGAAGGAGGAAGATAGCATTTCCTTATCCACTTTAAATGATCAAGTTGTTAATTTTGGTTTGTGTAGTTCATTTTAAGACACAGTTTTCTCTCTAGCGCTAGAAGGGATGATTGCTGTCAAAAGCTGCTTTTAGCACTTCAATATACACTGTTTTCAGGTCATCTTCTGATGACTAAATTCCATGAGACTTTTCAATCAGTTTGCCTTGGTAGCAAACACGTACTGGCTGAACTTGACTTCATAATTCTTTTTATTTTAATACTTTATAGTAAGCCTAGACCTCAACATCTGTGGCTCTTATTTCAAAGGTAGTACTAATTATGTTTTCTAATTATACTTTGTTTTTAAATGACATTTTATGTCCTTTAATTACTCTCTGTTTTGATAAGAATCTTTATAGAAGGAAAATTCCTTGAAGTAGAGTAACCATGGCTTATTTTGAGGGTTCAATCTGAACTAGAGAATTGCATAATTAGGTGTGTTAGATTACAGTCATGTATGTTTATTCAAAACAACACTTTAGGGCAAATTAGTAACTGTGATAGAGTAGACTAACACCAGTAAGTGATTGTTATGGAGACTTTTAAAGGCTTTTTAGCCTGTTTTGCACTGATGAAAAAAGTGAGAATATCAAGGTCCCTTGCTGAATTTGAGCTGTCTGTGACTTTTCCTCAACTATTCAAAAGCACTTTAAACTCTCTTTTACCAAGTGCCCAGCCAAGCTAACCTGACACGTAGCTGTCTCCAAGAGATGTGCCCTCCCTTGTATTTTCCCTTCTGTTGGTTGAAGCAGATTAACTGGCCAAAACAAACCAAAAATCCCTAATCCTACAGAAAAGCTTGTTGAGAAATCAAATGACAGCGAGTACTGGTGGAGACAGTAAAGAAGGATTGCTCTTTCTGGTGGCCATCAGCTGGTACAGTGCTTATCCATGTTATAGAACAGCCCTCCCTACAAGCAGTTGTGCGTGCTCTTCTTCCCTAAAGCACTAAGTGTAAATCTGATTAGCTAGTAAATCATAGAAAGTGTGTTCTGTAGTGTCAGGTGTTAAATAGTTGGAGAGATGTGATGTAAATATTGCACAGAAATGGATTAATTCACAGTTGTTCCCAAGATGTTTGAAGGAAATAAGAAATTCTTAGGTTTGTTTATTGCACGGGGGGGAATTGAACATGGGATGACAGTCTGGTTAGAGGCAGTATTCTCATTTATTTCTTTGAAGAGCATGTGCAAACATCAGGGTTAAGGTCATAACAGTCTTGCCATGTTCTCACCCCTTTAATTCCTGGGTCTTTAAAATAAAATCCAATCCACCAAGGAGAAACAAGAAACCGGAGTGAGAGTAGAAGCTTAGGGTAATTTTAATTTGATCAGGCTGAGACAACCCACCATTCTGTCTTATCATAAATGTAAGATTACTTTGCTTTCTGGTTAGGGATGAACAGGAACCTTTGTTATATATTGAAAGAAGAGATTTATTCTGTGAAGACCTGTGTTGACTCTGAGCTGTAAAATGACAGAAATGCAGTACCTGCAGACAGAAGGAACTACGTATTGCAGCACGTAACTCCATCTTGTAACGGCCCAGGGTTTGAAATAAGGGGCTTACCACTTAACATCTTTCATGTGTGAGAGAAAGTACATACACAGGGAAAACCTAATGTCTGGCACAATACACCCAGAGATTTTTAATATATGTGAAGGGGTTGCCTTTGTGATAAAAAGGGAGAGGCGTGCGTCTCAGTGAAAAACGTGACTGGCAAAAGCTTCGCTTGTTCACTCCCCCCTCCCCAGCAAATTGCCTGAAAGTGGATCATAAACAGCGATGCATCATTACTATTATCTCCTGGTGTGACTCACTGAGCCATATTTAGTGGCTCATCTTTTGGGGAGAATTCTTACTCAGAGCAAGTAGAATGTGGAAATAAATATTAAATGTTAGACTGTTATGTCACTGTTGCATTAGAATTTCTTTCATGCCAGATAGAAATGTCTAAAAATGGCTTGAACAGCAATGCATTAGTTTTCTCCTGATTCAATGCTCTTGTTTTCATTATATTTATCTCTTTTTGGGCAACAAGAATGTGTTTGTTGATTGCACTAGCAAATTCATTGATATTTCAGTGTTTGGTTTGCTGGTAATGTTAGGTAGCAGGTGGCTTTTGGAGCATGCTTTAGGCTTTTTTTACTTTGGGTTTTTAAAAGCACTGTCCTTTTGATTGCCTAATCATGCCTCAAATTAATTCTCTGTGATTTCTTTCTATTCTCTTTTAGTTATAAAGAAACTGCCTGTGACATCCAAGTATGGCTCATAACATTGATCCCTTTTAAGATTCTTCTGTCCTCCTTTTGGAAAGATTGGTTTTCTGGAATACTAACAGCATCCTCCCACCGTATTTTGCATTAATTTAGTACCTTGAAATTTAGACTGCTTTTCTTGACAAGAAAGACTAGCCAAGGCAGTGATTGCTACTGGACCAGCCTCTCCGTCCTTATCCCTAGATGAACTCTAGCCTGAGGATCCAGAGCTCTGTTTTTCTGGTGCTGTTGCCAGTGTCACTTTTGTTCCATGTCCGCTGCTGTAGTAAAGTACTGCGTTGTTTGTTTATGTTGCATGTATGTTGACTCAGCTTTCACTTTGAAACAGCACTCAAGATTTTTACATATGCACTAGGAAATAAGAATCCTTTCTTGTGTTTTGTGATATTGATAACATATTAACAAAGCTGTGTTAGTAAAAGAAATAATCCTGTGTTCTGTTACAGGTTTTGGGATTTGAAGTTGATACGGTGAACTCTGTCCAGTTTTCAAACCACACAGGTAAAATTTTACGTATGTCTCCAGATACCACTCCAGTCACTCAGCTCTACTCAACATGTGGCTCACCTCATCACATGACAGTGGAAAGGAGATTGGTCTTATGTTTTCATTCACATTTTCACGATACAGGACAGAAATGTAATATTCATGTTTTGATTCAAATCTCACAAAAGTCTGCATTTGGGATTAGGGCATGATACGATGTGGTAACATCCTGTTCTGCTACTTCAGGGTGTGAGTTTCTTTTTTAGGCAGTAATCTAATTAACTCAGTGAAGTAACACAAATACGGCCATCTACACAGGCAGGCCTGTGAACGGGGGAGTCTTCAGTACTGTTTTCTGTGCATTATGGCCCTATGACACTCATATTACCAACCCAAACAGAAGAATACTGAGCTTGTATTGAAATGCAATGTTTCCTCTCTTTATGTGCCCACCCAGATAGCTAGCAAGTATCCTAAAATTACATTCTGGAGGGAGGAAGGGGGTGGGTTGTTAATACATTTGGGTGTATTTTTACTTGGGTTCTAAACCTGAACACAATGCACTCACATTATACTTTCAGACTTCCTAACACTCACAGTGCTAGAGGACTTTTATTTTTCAAAAGAAAGCTGAAATTTATGTTTATTTTAGCAATATCTTTCACCCATACAGGAGGTCCAAGTGACTTGCTATTTTTGGATTAGTAGAGACACATCTACTGTCATGGTGGTGGCAGGTTGTTTGAGGGGAGATCTACTCTGGATAAAGAAATTCTAAGGGTGTCTTAAAAAAAAAATCCGGGAACAGATTCTTACTTTAACATCTTGGAAAAGAGCAAAAATTGTTTCTGACAAAGAAAAAAAGAAAAGACAAAAGTTGAGAGTTTCCTAGTATCTCACAGGTACAGTGTTATTAATAAACTGCTAATTTTTGGAACAGAGAGCAGACAAGGAAGCCTCTGTCTTCTCTTACTATGTTGACCTCCATGCAGCTTTCAGAAGGTTATAAGATGTTTCTATCATGGAAGGAATTCAGTGTCACCCTGGGAAGAAGAAATGAATGTTTCAAAGGTAGCTAGAAAGCCATCTCTGCTTGTTGAGGAGAGGCACGGAAGAGGTAATAATTAAACAAGGTGTGTGGTCTTTCCTGGCTCAGGCAAAAAATTGCTTATTTTGTTTGAACACTTTGGCACAGTACAAAGGTTCTCTCATGTTTTTAAGAGATACTTAGATGTGACTTATGTCTTTTTTAAAGTATTTAGTTTTGAAGTTTGGGATTTTTTGTTGTTTAGTTTTTGATAGCTGGGTAAAACTGTTGTAATCTTCCAGAAACGAAGCAATTTTTGCATGTGAAATAACTCGGCACTCAAAATGGATGAGTACCTGTCATTTATTGGCTTTCAGTTTCAAGATTAAATCAGCTTTATAGGGCGTTAAAAGAGCTTAATAGAGATTTTATTGGACCATAAACTGAATGTGTCTGAAGGTAGGAAAATTACATTACCAATAGGATGACCAGGTTCTTAAAACAGAAAAGGAGGAAGATTTTTATTTTTTTAATAGTATCTGTGGTGGGTTGACCCTGGCTGGATGCCAGGTGCCCACCAAAGCCGCTCTATCACTCCCCCTCCTCAACTGGACAGGGGAGAGAAAATATAACAAAAGGCTCGTGGGTCAAGATAAGGACAGGAGAGATCACTCCCCAATTACCATCACGGGCAAAACACTCAACTTGGGGAAAATAGCTTAATTTATTACCAATCAAACCAGAGTAGTGTAATGAGAAATAAAACCACCCCTCCCTTCTTCCCAAGCTTAACTTTATTCCTGAATTCTCTACCTCCTCCCCCCCAGCAGTGCAGGGGGATGGGGAATGGGGGTTGCGGTCAGTTCATCACACGTTGTCTCTGCCGCTCCTTCCTCCTCAGGGGCAGGACTCCTCACACTCTTCCCCTGCTCCAGCGTGGGGTCCCTTCCATGGGAGACAGTCCTTCATGAACTTCTCCAGCGTGGGTTCCTTCCCACGGGCTGCAGTCCTTCAGGCACAGACTGCTCCAGCGTGGGTCCCCCACGGGGTCACAAGTCCTGCCAGAAAACCTGCTCCAGCATGGGCTCCTCTCTCCACGGGGCCACAGGTCCTGCCAGGGGCCTGCTCCAGCACGGGCTTCCCACAGGGTCAGAACCATCTTCAGGGGCATCCACCTGCTCTGGCGTGGGGTACTCCCCAGGCTGCAGGTGGAGATCTGCTCCCCCGTGGACCTCCCTGGGCTGCAGGGGGACAGCCTGCCTCACCATGGTCATCCCCACGGGCTGCAGGGGAATCTCTGCTCCGGCGCCTGGAGCACCTCCTCCCCCTTCTTCTTCACTGACCTGGGGGTCTGCAGGGCTGTTTCTCCCACATATTCTCACTCCTGTCTCCTGGCTGCAATTGCAGTTGCACAGGTTTTTTTGCCCTTCTTAAATGTGTTATCCCAGAGGTGCTACCACCGTTGCTGATGGGCTCGACCTTGGCCAACGGTGGGTCCGTCTTAGAGCCAGCTGGCATTGGCTCTGTCAGACACGGGAGAAGCTTCTGGCAGCTTCTCACAGAAGCCACCCCTGTAGCACCCCAGCTACCAAAACCTTGCCACGAAAACCCCATACAGTATCACAGCTGAAGAACGGTTACCAGTGCTTCATTCAAGGTTTGGCAGACGACAAAGATGGTAGAAGCAACAACAAATTAGTGATTTTCCCCCCGCCATAAGAAGGCCTAAATGAACATCCCAATACCAAAAATGTCTCAAAGATCACAACTCTTTAAAATGTTTGGAATTTTTATTTTATCTCCTGGTGTTTAGAAGTCACGTTAATTTTTTTTCTGTAATCTTGATTATCTTAGTAAATGTGTTAAAAATCCCAAAGATTGCTGCACGCAACTTCATGACTTTGGGAAGCAGAGCTTTCAGAAGAAAATCACAGTTAGGTAAGTGTTTGGCACTTGCCAAGTGTGAGTAAATGAGATTATATTTAGAAGTACTGGTCATTTGGCTGAAAGAGGAAGGAATGGAAAAGGAAGGTTGGCGACATACTCCTTTTATGGCAGGTCTAGTTTTCTAACACTGCAGTTTTTTCATGAAACCCTTTCTACCCTTTCTTAAACTGAAGGATAGATTCTAAGCCCAGTGGCTTTGCACCTCCCCTTTGAGAGAGGCATGTAGGAACATGTGGTGTCCTCACACGAAGACTTTTCCAAGCTTGAACATTTACCTGTGCCTGCACACCAACTTGCACTAGTACCTGGAAATCAATGTATCACTGTAGGGATTAATGAACAGAAACTGCCATGCTGGGCTGTGGCTTGTGTCTGGAGCAGTGCCACAATACATAGGAATCGTGTGTTGGATGAATGGGTGAAGATAACTTGATTTTCCTACAAGAACAAGATTGTATGAGAACCCTTTCTGTCGTCATCATTAAAGCTGAAGGGCAAATTTCTCCTTCAAAATCTAGCTGTGAACTTTAGTTTTTAAAAGAATGCCACATACCAGAGGGGCACGGGTAGCAAAGTGTGTGAGATTTTGGACATGGTGTTCTTTCTTTCCCCATCCCCATCTTTAAACCTGGTCTTGTTAGCAAAAGATAAAAGCAGAGAGAATTTATGACTAACAGGCTTTCTTGGGTGAATCATTATTGCTTTTTTTTGCCCTGTCTTTAAATTAGTGAGATACAACAGGCCTATTTCTGCTGACTCCCGCTCAGAAAATTCAGCTTTCTTTAGTCTCTGATAATCCTGAAATTCGGAAAATGTGCTTTAAATCAGTCCCCTTGGGAGAGCAGTTTGTCATGTTGCTTGGTGAGGAACTTTTATGATTAGAGTGACTCACCCTTGAATGGCATCATGCTTCATGTACAAATAAAAGAAGCTGTCATGCAACCTACAAAGATTCTGTGCTTTTTATTCTATTTTACTGTATTGTTTGCAGAAGCATCTCATTGTCTGATGTGCAAAAATAAAAATCTAGATTTTTTTATTGTATCATTGATTTTTGGGGGTGCATTTTTAATTCTTCAGTGATTTGCATTTTTGTTTTTAATTGATAGGTTAATGGTAAGCATATAACGTGCTTACTTTTCCATCCGAATCCCACCTTTGAAACTGCTCCAGAACAAATAGCCTGGGTTTTTTTCTGTTCCTTTTTATTTTTAAGCAAAGCACTTTTGACTTCCACTTAGTGGGTGTGTAGTGGGTGGTTGGGTTGGCTGGTAGGTCTAATACATAAGAAATTATAATTATGTCTTGTTGATGTGATTCTTCACAGTCTACCACCCATATGCAGTCATTCACACCTGTGCAGTGTGGGACAGAAAGAAAAGATCTCCAATCATGCCTAACACTGGTAGCATTTTACTCCCACAGTGATGAGCTGTAAAAAATCCAGTGGATAGTTTGGTACTGTGTTTCTGGTTTTGTTGAAGGCCTCCTGGTAGCTGAAAATTACGTCATGTGTTTAGAACAGGTTGTCTGCCAGAGTTTGTGTTGGAATTTTGTGACACAGCTGGGACCAGATTGCCTGCCCATCATGTGCCTTAAACACTAGATCTTTCTTCCTTTTTCCCATGTAAAGTACTTGGTTACCGAAGCCACTTGGAATAGTTTTGCAAGGAGCACCACAGGAGGAGCTCACACCTCAGAACAGAATGTTCTGGGTTAGAAAACAAAATCTTACGTGCCTTGCTATACTTAAATGGTAGCTTGTTTTTTACTTTTGTTTGGTTCGGGGTTTTTGTTTGTTTTTTTTTTTTCTTCTCGTATGCCTAGGATTTTTATTCTTTTCTTTTTTCTTTGTGTTTGAAAGTAATTAAGAGGCTTATAAATACATTCCAAAAGAGCAAAAAATATACCAGTGGAGAAAGGCAAGAAAGAAAAGTATGTAAATTCATCTTGGGTGCAGTATTAGCTGCTTCTCTTGGTTGTGGTTTTGGTTTTTTTTCCTTTTTCATACAGATGAACCAAGGCATTTCCTTGGAGACTAATGAATACGTTTATCATTTTAGAGGGATAAGTGACAAGTGGCATTGTATCCTGCCTGTTTTTTATTCCCTTATCTGCTAAAAGCAAATACATAACATTTAATTGCAATAAAAGGCTGTAACACAGATCAGCAGAAGGGGTATAAAGATGTTTAAATGTTTATGTTCATCTATGTGTTTAAATTTATTACTAATCTGGGAGACTAATGAAGTCAGTCTGAGCCAAGTGCAGTTTTGGAGTGCTGTATCATGATTTGCAGTGTTCTCTCTGTTCTCTCAGTCCAGCACTGAGGGGAATTTCTTGGTGGTTTTGTAACCAAAACAAGGAAGACTCAGCTTTCTTCCTCTGTGGAAGATACAAGCCAAGATCTCACCTTAATATCCAAGATAAAAGAGTAATAATTTGATCCAGCTGCCATGCCTAACCAGCTCTGTAGTCTCCAAATGGGATGCTGTTGTTCTGCCAGGTACAAACTTGAAACTCATTCTTTAGTTTTCTTGGCTGTGGTTCTTGTATAATGTGTGCAAGCAGCCAGGTACTGTGAGACTTTGAACTTCTGTATTGTGGAGAGCCTCAGTGGAAATATTACTGCAGAGCAGGAGTTATAGTAAGTGGACAGTTAAACAGAAGATTTTAAGTTTTCTCTTGCTGTTTTTCAGATACCCACACTTAGTGGTGTAGGCATAGGGATAACATTTCTAGGAAGCTGACTTTCTTTTAGGTCTTGCAAGGCAGCTCTGGGCCTTCAAATGTACTCATTGCCAGCCAAGTTCTTATGTCTAGCCAGGAAGACAGTGATTCCTCATTATCATCCTTAAGTCCAACCACTCATGCTTTTCCCTAAAGCCAATTGGACCTCAAATGTTTAAGCTTGCTGTTGGCATTCCCTGCTAACTAGCTTTGGGTTCAGAGCTATGCAGTGGTTTTTTGACCACACAGTATCTATCTGGATTTTTTGCCTTTTCCCTTTCAAGTTAGTCCCTCTCCCTCTTCCTGGGACCCCAAGGTATAAATCCTTCAGTTAGTAAAACCATTTTTGAACATGAGTAACTGGCTTTTTCTTCTGTCCCTCTACAGAAGATGCTTTTTGGTTGTATATTCCACCAGGAGAGTAGGATAAATTCAGGGTCGTGGGATTTGCCCCTGCTCATCATGTTACATGAAGTTACCCTGGGGAGAGGGCTTAGGATGGTTTCCATCTTGCTGCCAGTTTTGATTTTGTTTGTTTCTTACTCGAACATAATTCAGCTCCTAGTGAAATCACAGTTCTCTGCAGATCCAGTGAAGGCATTGCCCTTTTTCTTCTCTCTGAATAGCTGGGGCTTCCCTAGGGCCTTTTTTCCTCCAGTTATTGTGTGATTAGACTTTAGGTTGTATTACATGTCTTATCAGGTGCTAAAAAGGATCCTCTAGATGCCCTTGGAAGTCATTGCTACAGAGTTCAATGTCCCTGTCCCATGTGGGTAACTTACAATTCCTGAGCTAAGGCTGGGCTGCTTCTAACATTATTTCCCTCCGTCAGTGGAGGATCAGTGTGACATGAACCCTGTGCATTAACAGTTTAAGACAGTTTGACATAGGAAGGTGAACTTTTAGTTAAATAGTGAATGTGCAGCGTCCCTCTGTAGGAATGGCTCCCGAGAGTATCTAGATTGTCTGGACAATCTATTGTAGTTATTTTTATGGCCATGTGTAAGATGAATGACTGCTCTTTTGCCAGCTGACCTTGAGTCTGGGTGAAAACTGCATTCAGTTTCATTGATGGGCACAATGGAATAAAAAGGACTCTTGTTGTGTCTCTATATGGACTGGCTTTGCAGTGCTAATAGAAGTAGAGATTCGGGGAAGAGGAGAAGGCAGATTATTTCTCTCTGAAGCTGCAGATGTGACAGAACAAACATCTGCATATGTGTTAAATAAGCCAAATACTTGAGTTAGTTGTAGCCAAGGGTTCCTCATATACTTGGGGCTAGATGTTTGCCTATATGTTAGGTGTTGCCGTTTTGAATATCACTATGTTCTGCAATGGAACTACAGCCCTAACAAATGGGAATCCCTCACTTTGTCCCTTTCTTCACAGAGACTTTTTGAAAAGCATTTGCTAGGGAGAGAAATGTAGTGGCTGATGTGAGTCAATCCCCCAGCCAGCTGGCAGCAAGTCGTGTTTTAGAGGCTAGGCCTTTGTGAGCTGAGGAGAACAAAATGATCCATCTGCTCACCCTACTGTGGGTGTATTTGCATTCATAAGAAGGAAAACTGAAAAATGTGCTTATCCTAGGCTCTAGGCACCTTTTGGCAGTTACTCTAATAACACAGTTTAGAGTGATAATCAAAGCCAACAGTTTTTATAGCAGAATTTTCTAACTCAGAGAGCAGAAGTTAAAACAAACAAAATACCACTGTCTTCACACAGAGGTGGTGTGGAAGAAGATACCTCATTTAACATTTCACTTTTCCTAATTCCAGTTAATAAAAGGATAAGCTTTTTAACAAACTGTTAATTTATGGAGGTTGGAAGAGTTAAATTGTGGGTGCTTCATCCAATATCCTGGAGGAAGCCCCATTCTTATACACCAGGCAGTGATGGCTGCCATCTAGATGGGCAGATTTTGATGACAAGGTGCAAGGTGCTTTTATGTTTTTCAACAAATGTTTAGAGTCTGTCAAGGAAGTTTAGCTTATTTTTTTTACCTTGAAATTGGCTGCCATGAAGCTTGGTCCATTGTTTGCTGAAATCAGGTCAGCTTCTCCCAAGTAACTTCACCTTCCATCCACTTCTCAGCCAAGAATATTGGCTTGTAATTCTTGGAGATCATTCAAGGATAAGAGTGTATGGCTGTTATTCGTCTGTTTATAGTGTCTTTCTGATACTCATTTGGCTTTTCCAGGGTCCTCAGCATTAAAACTGTGCTATTTGTGGAAGAAATCTGCCAGATGACATTGTATGTTTAAAGAGCATCCATGACAATGTTCTGCTGTGGTCAGTCTATTCCTTATATGCAGGTCCCAGTGAATGCTGTATCTGATGGGTGCAGCAGTGCTGCATGCCTGTGTCCAGACAGATCCACAAGCCTGTTTAAGAGTGTCATCTAGCTCTCAATCTTTTTCTTTTTTTTATAGTATTAAATAACAAAAATAGATTATACTGACACCCTCCTCCAGTGAAGTCTGGAACATACATTTGTCCCCCTCCACACAGGGCAGGGATAGTTGTATAGGCTCCATGGGAAAACCTGCAGGAGCGTGTGTGTGTCTGCTTAATTTGCTGATAAATGGACAGTCTCAAACTCCAGTGTAGTCACTCTAGTTCCTGTGGGAAATAGAGGTGCTAAGAAGAAGTTGAGCGTGTTAACTGTTCCGCTGACAGCAGCTTTCATTCAGCAACAGCATTTTACAGAAGAGGAGGTAGAAATGCTTTCTGGTGCTAATATCTGATACAGTCCTTCCAAGTATATAATCTGTGTGATCCTAAATAGAAAATGTAGCTCTTAAAAAATTATCTGGCATTTATTTTGCAGGTTATGCCCACTGGAAGGGTCAGGTGTTAAATTCAGATGAGCTTCATGAACTGTACGATGGACTTAAGCTGAATGAGGTCAACCGGTATGATTATGTACTCACAGGTAAGAAGAGCTTGTTCCTTGGAGTTCCCATGAGATGTAAACAAAAGTACATAAATATAAACCATATCGCTCCTTATTCCAAACCAAGCAATTACATTTTCCCTCCTTTGATTCCTCATGCAATTTCATCTGTATATTATAGTTTCAACTGCTCATGCTGTTTAGTTTGAAACAGCCAGTGTTCCAGCCTGAAGGTTGTAATTGGGTGGGTAAATTGATCCCCTTGTATAGTTTACAGACTTGTACAGGCTTAATTAATGTTTTGGGAGTGCCTCTACTAAAAAAAGGATGAGGAATGTCAGAGTATTGTTTTTAAATTTATTATGAAGACATGAGTTTAACCCTTTCTCCTAAATTAGCAGTACTGGCACTCTGCAGTACTATAGCATGATTTTATACACAGTTGTCTGTCCTTGTTTTTTCTACTTGATCTTTAAGGGGTAGTGCTTTGGATACAGAGCAAAGTATAAGCAGGGTTGGATTTTGGTTTTGTCTTTGTCATATCTCTTGATTTTTTCCTCTTGTTCCTATGTAGGTCCTCTGAGTAGGTACAGTTCTGCAGGACATAATGACAGTGCAGTGTTTTCCTTTGCTTGCCACTAGGTGCAAAGCATTTATAAATACAGGCAAAGAACTTCTTGTAGCATGCTTTATAGAAAGCAGAGATTTTCTGTGCTGTTTTTATTAAAAACTGCTCCTCATCCAATTCCTCTTTCTCAAATGTAAGTTACTGATCAGGTTTCACCTCAGTAAGAGCTATGCATCTGGTTTAGATTACAGTATACATTTTTTATAGCAGTGAACAGTCACTTTTTAAAGGTAAACAGAAATATATTGCCAGATTTGATTGACTTCATGCCTTCCACATGAAGGAAGGTGCTTTATACACAGGGAAAACTGAAGACATTAAGTGTATGGATTATAACCCCAAAGCAGTCATTCTGGCTTGAAGGGTATGGCATGTCTGAAGAGTTATGGTCAGTTCTTTTTCAGGGAATATCTCCAAAGTAAAGGAGGCTGAATAGAATATAGACTGAACTAAGGTTAAGAAATTAATTTCGGCATAAATGGGTTCTTTGTGATTGAGAAATAGACAAACGCCCTTTCTTTCCTTGAAAGAACTCGCACAGAGGACATTTCCAGGAAAAGCACACTGTACTGTGGCAGTTTTCAGGAGATGTTAGTATGCAAAATTATTAAGTAATGTTTGAGTATTCTTTTAGCTGAAATGTTCCTTTTTTATTTTACTTGCAACTCTTGGAAGAGACCCCAACTCCTTTCTTATCATTGTCTTGTACTGGCAAAACAGATGTAAGAAATTAAAAATGGTAGAAGGAAAACCAGAAATCTTCAGCAGAAAGAAATTTTTGGAGAAAAAAAGGAATATTTATTAATATGCCTTTTAAAATAGGATTTGTGGGTAGATGGGTCAGTGTGGTGTTCATGTTTAAAAATATTGTTTGGAGTAGCCATTTTTTTCAGTATGGACAAAAAGAAGGCATGGGTAGAAATGGCACTAATTTCTTAAGATCTGATAACACTCTCAGTGTTTTAGTATTCAGCTGGGCTGTGGCTGAACTTAAGATTCAGGTTTTTTTCATTCAGGGCCAAAAGACAGATTTTTCTCTTCAAACAGGAACAGCCATTCACTATAGTGCACAACTGTACTTTATGCCTCCAACAACCTGGATATGATTATTCAAACACTGAAAACAAATCAGTCAGCAGATGGGATTTGACTGTAGTTTTATGTCTGATGACTGTAGATATCTTGGCTGAGATAATAATTTTTATCTTTAGGCTGATTTTACAAAATAACACTTTGTTAACTTTTGTGACTGTTAGTTACTTGTAGATCTTCATATATTTGTTTCATTTACAGTGAAAGACTCAAGGTAAGAGAGAAACTCCAATTTAGTGTTAAATTTTTTGAAACGCCTCTGTCAATAATGTTAATCTTACTCTGTTTTTTTTTTTCAGCCAGTCTGCCATCACAGGTCATTTTAAACAAAAATCTTTACTTGGCTTTTTTGACTGATTATCAGCATTTCATAGTCGTAAGACAAAGCATTTTGGCCAAAAATCTTGGAAGCTTTTTTCCGTTTCTCTGCAACATCTCAGAATTGATCGATTTTGCAAGTAAAAAAAAAAAATCTCCAAAATTTATTTTTAAGTATTTTAGTAGAGTGGATATTTCCAAGCTGAAGGTTTGAAGAAGCCACCTTGCTAAAAATAATACTATTAAATGAACTAAAATAAATTAAAATCAAATTATTAATTAATAAATGTTGTAAATAAAGTTAATACATAAAATAAATATATAAAGAAACATCCATAAAATAATAAATGATTAAATAAGAATATTGTGGTGCTAGCATTGTGATCAGGGCCTTGAGATATAATAAAACTTATTTCCAGCTTATTTCACTGCTAAGCCTAAAAATAGAATTTTATTGGTATATTGGCCGTTGCTCTAAAATACTCAAGATTAATTCTCCATTGCATTAATGTATTGGAGTGTATCAGCACCAACATTAATAATAATAAAAAACCTGCTTCAAACCAAGAGTATGAGAAAAGTATGTGGAATTTAAAATATTTCTTATTTACTACATGATGAATAGTACTGATTCAGACTGCTGTTTTGAAGAAAAGGAGTGTTTTTTCCTTTCAGCCTGACTTTTTTGTATATATGTTCAAGCATTTTGAAGCTGTGTGAGCCCTTTATATATAGTATCCATTAGTAAATGGATTTTTAAGGTTATATTTGTAGTCATGCAAGCACTGTCTGAATTTGTCTTCCATTTATTATTCCTGAATGAAATACTAAGACAACTTTGTTCTAAAAATGCATTGTTCCAAAGAATGAGAAGTATGCAGCAATCCTATCCAAAATTTAAAAAAAAAAAAAGCGTTCATGAAAACAGACTTCAAAAGTGTCTTTGTTTTTCCCAAAGGATATACAAGAGACACGTCATTTCTTGCAATGGTGGTGGATATTGTCCAGGAGTTGAAGCAACAGAATTCTAATCTAGTGTATGGTAAGGATGTGTATTATAATCCTTTCTGCTTCATCATTGTATATACCCATCATTTTCATGTTTTAGGATGAAAATGCTGTTCTGATGTTACCCAGCATTTCACAGCCATCTTGTGCTTTGATCTGTCTGGGACCAGCTGAGGCTCCAGTGAAGTTTCGTTTCAGCATTGCTTAAGTGTTGAGGGAGTTGGTTTTTTATCTTTCTGATTTTATGCCTTTCAGTATGTTTCTTGCATTATGCCATCCAAATGAGAATGTGCCTTGAGGACTGATTGTCTGTATCAAAGAAAGGCTTGTAAAATCCTAGCCGACTGCAGCTGTTCGTAGTTCAGAGGCATAGGCTATAAGTGCTGATAGCTGAAGCCTCTCCTTGATGTCCAAGTCAGTCAAAAGCAGGATAGACTCTCCCGTGTTGCCCTGCCATGGTTTCATGTTACATGGCAGAAGAAGTGTCTAACTGTGCCTTATGAGCTTCGTAATTTAGCTTAAAACTCCAAGGCTTTTTTAGCTCTGGTGCCCTCTGCTAAGATTACCTAGAAGCACTCAAAAGAGGTACAGCCTCTAGCAGCTGCTGTCATCAACGTGTCACATCAGGCTGAAACCTATGAGAAAAGATTCTCCTCGCTCCTTCCTGACTCTGTTTCAGGACTTCTGAATATAACCAGTACAGGCTAAACGTTTAGAGTGGCAGGGCAAAGTCATCGGGGATTCGGTGGGATAAAAAGCTGTGAATAACAGTTTGAGCCTGTCATCTTCAGGTTCAGTAAACTGTGTGGTCAGGAAACACCTAGAATGGTTCGCAGGATTTGCAAGTTGTAATACTGTGGAGTGTGATACCTGACTTAAAATTTTCAAAGCACAGTTCTCATTTAGGAAAATGTAGCACAGATAATTTCATGAGCTTAGGTTTTGTTGCTTTTTAGCCTTTACAGTGTTGCATTTCTGGCTCTCCAGAGCCTTATACTAGTAAGTGAAAGCTAAAAACTCTGTTGGAGTATGAGCCGGAAGAAACATCTCGCTGTGTAGAACAGGAAGGAAGTGGTCAGATGGTGAGAACACAGCTAAGTTTCTAAGATCTGTTATATTTAATAAATAGATTATAATGTAAGGAAAATACTTTAAAATGTAAAACAAATTACCCTCTTTTTTACTCATAGAAACCTCCTTAAATACTGATTGGACACTGATTTGATACCTTTGGGTTTGTATTTCTTTTTTATCTGCTAAAAGCTCTTTTAATACAATGAAAAGTGTTCCTTTTTAAAGTACAAGGCTAGGCTGTTTACATCCTCACTTTGAAACTGAAGGTGCTTGGAATATGTTGTTAATAATGCTGATGATTCAGAACCTGTGCAAAATGTGTGTTAATATTATTACACCAAGTATGAGTTTATGTACTTTGGTATGGATTTTCTTCTTGTTTCATTTTAATACACACAATTCTTTTTATGTGTACACACAGCATTTTAGAGTGTACGTTTGGCATGTATCTTTTTACATTACAGTAAAAATAGGACTCTTCACAGCTATTAGCTTCTCCCGTGTTTCTTCCCCACCATACTACTATTTCAGAGTTTTGGGTTGGGGAGTGAAGGGAAGGGTTCTCTGCGTTTTCCATAACAAAAGCCCCTTTATTCCCAGTGGTCAGACCCTCTGATCCTCATCACCTTCAGACATAACAACATGGAGGCAGGTAGGAGAGGGTGACTACAACCCTCTGACAATTGTTTAAGACACATGGCCTACTCTTTCAGAATTGGCAGCTACCAGTTATAAATTTCAGGTTGAATGTGCTGCAAGAGCTGTGAGAGTATACAAGCTATCAGGTGCTCAGTGCTGTTACATAGCCACTACTGTTATCTAAAACTTTTCCCTCCCACCAGGGTCTCTATAACCATACCCCATTTCTAAAGCTAGATTTATTCTATTCCAGTATGCGATCCAGTGATGGGTGACAAATGGAATGGAGAAGGCTCCATGGTTAGTGCTTATCTGTTTGGATTCTCTGTAGAGTGAATATTTGCTATATAAGGATGTCTAAAGATTTATTAATTTTTAAACACCAAAACTAAGCTACTTTACCTAAGCGTGGCTTTGGATCCCAGCATCAAGTAAGTTTGTACTTTAATTTCCTGTATTTGAATGAGTTTAGTATCTGGGAAGAATGGTGGCTGCATAGCCCTGGGATTATTTCTAACTCTCTGCTGAGACAACAGGTAGAATACAGACCCCGTCCACAGGAAGATATCCCCCTGCTCCCCCTCCTTGTCTCACTGGAGTTCCCTCATCTTCTTTCAAGAGCTCTATTTTGGCTGGTAGCCTGGCTGGCGTTGTCAGTGATCATGTGAATTGACATACCACTTGAACCTAAATGAAGATGACTTATTTTGTGTGAGATCCAACAGCTGTTAGGCATTGGGCTGTGATCAGTGACAGAAAGGTTCTGTGTGCCAATACCAGACTGCATACTGACAAACATTCCTTTTTGATCAAAACTAGCAAATAATTTCAGTAAAAATGCAATGTGGGAAGACATCAGCAATAACGATATTTTATGTTTTCTTCTGCCTTAGCTAGTCATGCACTATGAATTCCTCTTTGTCCTTGTACCATTTTACAGTTTACCTGCTCATAAAACATCACATGAAGTAACACTTAGTAATAAATTTGCCATTGCTTTTGTGTTCTATTCTTCCATTTTACGTCTATTGCAATATTTATTGTCCCTGGCTTTTTCTAACAAGGCAGAGATCTAGCAGCTGTAGAGTCACCTTGCAAAGCATTAGCTCTTGGGAGAAGTCAAAACCATGGGCCTACCTGTGACTTTTGGGTGGAAGATAAGGTAGATGGAAGAAGAGGAGAATATTTAACATGCAAACCACGAACTCATTCCTGCCAAGACAAGTAATAAAATCATTATTTAAAATGCCTTGGTTTAGACGTGACCTAGTCTTGTATTTCTGTCTAAAGGCAGAGTCCCTGTGACACCATTGCTTCACCATGGCTGCATGAGTGAGCTCAGTACCCTGCCCTGAGTAGCTTCTGAGACTAACAGAGAAAATAAAACATGGACAAAAGGGAATATTAGTCCTGATTTAGCAAATGGGGTTCTGCCAAAGAGTATCAGCTACTAGTAAACAATGAACTTTTAATAAAGGTTTTGTTAAATTGAGTTACAGCAGGAGTCGGGAAGGTGAGGTGACCCCTGTACCCATCTAACCCGAACTCCTAGCTGAGCTCCAGTGTATGCCAAAACAGCTGATGCTTTTCAGCTTTGAGCCTGAAGAGCATGCAGGTTGGTGGGCTCCTGTTACATCTCAGTGTATGTCACCTGCTTAGACAACCAATATCCCTTTGCTGATGGGCTGCATTTAGCTAATGAAGATGGGGTAGAGATGGAAAAGACAGGCAGAAAGGGGAGCATTGGCCCTCATTACTGGAAGAGCTCATTCTGCAGGCCGTGAAATATGCTAGTGTTTTGTTAGACTTTGGTGCACAATGCGAGCGAAGTATTTTTGATGTCCTTATCGGAACTGCTTTATAGATTAAGTTGTACTGAACAAATTACAAATCTGATTCCCATTCACACATACTGATGTACAGCACACCCTTGAAATACGGCACTGAAAGAAGGAGGCAAAATAACACATAGCATGGATGTTACTTGTTCCTAAATCCCACAATGCAACACAATCAATGTGGGCACATGCTGCCGCGGCAAAGGGCCTCTGTACTGTCGGTACAACAACAAAGTAGTTTCTTTTGGAGGTAGGGACATGAGAAAGGGTTCCCCATATTGGGACACTGTATTTCCTCATGCTGCTGTGTCACCTTGGTGAGAGGGAACCCGAAAGTTCTTTCTCCAGGCACCATTTCCTTTTAATGCTGCCAGTTTAGGCGTGTCTGCTTAGTGGTGCTTCCTATCACCTCCAGTGAAAGAAGGGCTGTTGGTTGTACTGTCACCAGCTGGAGGATGCACTGCCACTTTAGCTACTGCTGCATAGCAGTGCACTGGGAGCTGTCAGGTTACTCAGTGACAGCATGAGTGGTAGTTGAGGGAAGGAGAGTTGCAGTCCCACATCTCAGATGCTGCTGACAACATTTGATACTGTTTCTTCTCCCCTAGTATGTGCCCAAGGATCTCCTCCCAGTCTACAGGGACAAAGTCGTACCTGTTGCTGATATAATTACTCCTAACCAGTTTGAAGCTGAGTAAGTACTCCTTTTATAGCCAAATAAACTTGGGGATAAAATCAGGGAAGGCTGATACCCATTGTTTTATTTGTCTCAGTACAGTGCCATAGGTATGTATGTGTTGGGTTTTGTTTTTTAGCTGTTACTTTCAAGTGGTGCTTTCCAGCAAATCTCCAACTGTTCCATATTGAAACCAATAAAAAAATCTGGGAGTTACATGAGGAAAAAGATTTCTCTTCTTTTCTCCGGTCTTTCATTTTCACGATTACTTTTTGTTACCTCCAGAGACCTGTATCTAGGGCAGGTTAAAAAAATACATTTCTTTCCTTCCCCGTCCTTACCCATTCCTAGGAAAATTTTTATTATATGTCAGAATATCAAAACTGAAATAGTTTGAATCAAACCCCCAAAATTAGATTCAGAAATAGCACCATGGCAACATCTCATAGGAGTTAAGAATTTAAATGTCTCCTGCCCGTCCTATCTACATAGCTGTGACTCTTTGGTCAGGAGGTAATCTGTTGTGATACACCACAGGCTGTCTCCCTAAGGGGAGGGAGCACCTACATGGAAGGTGGCGAGAAGACAGTTCTGAGGGAATTTTATGATACAGGGATCTCTACAGGAGGCAGGTTAGGACTGGTGTGAGTCCGCTTCAGCAGCACTGTGTATCTGTGCACTTAACTTCTAAACACAGTGGTCTGGTACAGCAGATGACGTAGCAACAAACCATTTAGGCCTGTATGGTGCAGTCCAAGCTTTCTTCCTTTCAAAGAGTAAACAAAGCAGTCATTGCCTGGAGAACTTGTGCTCTTTTAAGATTTCTTTTTCATTCTCAGGTTACTCACGGGCAGGAAGATTCACACAGAAAAAGACGCTTTAGAGGTAAGTAGGCAAGGAGTAGGATGTGTAAGATCTCTTTCTGAATTCCTGCCTGCAGTGCTGAAGTTTGCCATTTGTCTTAAACTTTGACATCACTTTGGCCTCTGTCCTTTCTCTTTGTTTATCATAAAAGCTTGTGCACTCCAGGCGCAAAACATTTCTGTTCTAGTGTCAGACTTCTGAAGAAACTTCCCGAAAGAGCTACAGATGAAGGCATTACAGTGGTAGTGAGTGTGAGCTCGTTTTCCTGCAGTGTAAGAAGGGTAGCAGCAGCACATGTGGCAAGTAACCACACGCTGTCAGCGCTGTGGAAATGCACTGGTTGGGGTGAAAACCCCGGGTGACCCTGGGCATTAGAAACCTTTATGAGTCGCTCCCTCTGCTGTCCACATACGAGTCGTGCAACAGCAATGCTGAGTGTTAGAACACGTTCCTCCATACAGACTGTTTGCAAGGAAGAGAGCTACTAGCAAACTCTTACGAGGATTGACTGAATACACTCTGACTCTCTTCCTGACAGTGTTTGCTGGTGCTCTGTTTCTCTTCCTTAAATTGACTCAAAGGGGATGAGACCTGGGTTGCAAAAGGGTAGATTGTGTAGATGAGAAACCAGACTGGGAGTGATGGCTTTCAGGTACGCCTGGTGAAAGACAGACAAACCCACAGCATTGATAGCTGCTGTCATCGCCATACAGAGATGATGGGTGGTCCACGAATACACTGCATTGAGGTGTAAGGATTTATCCTTTTACACAAACTGAAGAAAACAAAAACCTACAGGTCTTAGCGATGAAGGACAAAATAGGAATATGGTTTTATTGGTGTCTTTGTTTTGTTGACTAGTCAAGTGCTTTCATAATGGGCTGATGTTACTTCTTCCAGTTTGGTTTTGAACTTCAAAGGAACACAAAATCTTTTAAACAAACAGCAGCTGCAGTGGCACCCTGGAGAGTAGCTGGGGTCTGTCATCCCAAATGTTTGTTGTTCTTTTTACTCCAGCAACGTCATGCAGCATGGGCTGATTACCATCTCTTCATGGCAGGAAGCAGCTCCAAAGATCTCAGTTCTTTTCATTTCCGCCCCCACCCCAGTTTTACATTACCCCACTGTGCTGGGTGAGGGTAATGAACTGTGCTTCATGCCACTAGCTGCTACAGTTCTTCTGTTCTCATCGTCACCAGTGGAACCACAGCCCGGAGAACAACACTATTAGCTGAGCAGCCATTAGTTTTAGGTTTGCATATTTCAGCTGTATACACGAATTGCATGTGGTAAACAATTTTAGAAGTTAGTTTTCTGACTGTCTCATTCATGTGATGGGTTTTAAAAAATCTCTTCTAAAGAGCCAGAATTATACTTAGGAATGGAAACACTTTTAAAATAGTTTCTTGCAGGATATTATATTTTAATCTGTCTCCCCAGCTGCATGTCATATATAGGTCTATCCTTCTGAGTAATAATCCATGCTGGAATTTGTCCCCTTTGGAGGTCATAGGAATTCTGGCATCGATTTCCATGGTGACATGCTTTCATTCATTTCTTTAGCAAGACTAGTGATGACAGTATAGACTTTTAACATAAAATTAAATATGATGTAATATTAATGGAGAAGGGACTAAGTCCTACAACTAGAAATACTGGTGATTAGGTTCTTGGTGAATTGTGACTAAGAAGTGAAAATGAGTTTAATGTTACTTCACAGGTTGATTATGTCAGCGTATGGCGGTGGATTTACAGCTTCTTTAAAACCAAACCAATGTCTGTGCAAAGAGGTCTGACAGTTGAAGAAACTTGGAAGCTTAGACAAGAAAGAAAAGCAATAGAGAGTTAAAAAATAGCAGAAATAAATCCTTATCATTCAGCGGCTCATGAGTCATAGCTAGCCTGAGAGGATTTTTAGTTAAACTCTTCTGGGGGAATTAATATTTTATCTGTGTTTTATGCTAAACTCATTATTGAAGTCATTCTTTCTTCTGTGAAATCAAAATCACTTCTGTAGCAACCAATTGTGATGTCAGAAGTAGAGTATGAATGAGTTTAAGTGAGGAACACACAGTGGAAATACACCTGCAAAGGTGCATAATTTACAGGTATAATTTGGGGTTTGAAACAGAATGAGAAAAGAAGATTGAGACAGACACACTTGTACATCTCATTTAGCTCTTTAACTCTTAATTTTTGCTAACTCTTAAAGTAGTAGCTAAACAAGACTTCATGACCTGAAGTTATTTGCTTTCTAGCAAGTGTTTCAAGATGCCAGCTCAGGTGCATGTGTCTGTACATTTGTTCTCTTATTCTTTTGATAGTATGTTCTGAAAACATGATGCAGACAAAAATTCTGATCACAGCTGATACAGAGTGTTATTTTCAGAGGAGCATCCAAAGATAATACAGAGATGCTTATATATTTTAACAGCTGTGTACATTTAAATATGGATGTTTTGATTCCCCTATTTCAAATTAATTCCCCTAATTCAAGTGAACTCTTTGAGTAGAAACTGTTTTTTCTCTTTACAAAAGATGCCAAAACAAGGTGCTTGTCAAAAATCCTCAGTACTATGAATGATGCAAAGTTTAATCAACACACATTGCAGTCACTGATTCCTGCCTTTTTGCACATGGAAAGGTAATGGATATGCTCCATGCCATGGGGCCAGAAACTGTGGTGATCACAAGCTCAGATCTACAGGCGCCTCTAGGAAACGACTACCTAATTGCTCTGGGAAGCCACAGAAAAAGTAAGTCATGAACTCTGTCATTAAACTGTGCTTTAACCTGTTCTGTGCTTTCAGTTACTTTTTTAATAAGTAGGTTCATCAGACGCATCTGTAGTGCATGGAAGGAGCTTAGATCCTTAAGTGAACTTCTCTTACAGTAATATCAGAGAGCAGTAAGAATGGGGCTGCTCCATAAGGGAGGACAAGCTGGGAGCTGAGCATGATCATAACACAGGCAGAGCACTGCCCTCACCAACAGGGCACAGGCCCACAGTATCTGAATAAGGTGAGCAGAACGGGTGGTGATGGTGGACAGGTCCCATTGGCAGTCCAGTGATCATCAGAGAAAGGAGAGACAAGCCAGGTCTGAGATTAATCTGGAAAATCTGATCAGTAAGTCAGGACAGCAGGGCTGTACACAAGTACACCTAAAACATAGCTCAGGCAAGGATGCTTGCACCCAGGCCTGAGCTTCCGTGCAGGTCCTGGGCGAGTGGGCAGAGGGTGCATGGGTGGAGGATGTCCTAGGTGAGGTTGATCAGGGCTGTTAAAGCCCGTAGTAGTGGCCCTGACAAGTAGTAGCGGTATAAAACAGGAACTTTGAATGTTTTGAATGCTTTTATGAAAAGTTACACTGTCCTGTTAGCACATTGTTCCTCCCTGATAGGTTCTGCTGCTTCTTTATATCCCCTTCTATACCGTCACCAAGATTCACTGTGTGTTTGGACTGTTGTAGGATGTTTTTACCTGAGAAGAGCATAGTTATGTGGCATGGTATATGATCTCTTTTTCTTGTTCATCTAAGGGATCTAAACGTGGGCATCACATTCTGGACTGCTGAGAGACTGAAAAAGTCTTGATATTCAAAACAGATTCCACTAAGAATCAGTCAGTGGGTCTTAGCACTTGCTACATGCTGTGTCTGGAATGTCTGGTCATTCCAATGGTGATTACAATATGGCACATGGATCAGATATTCTCTGCTGTTGTCTACAGCTGCTCTTGTGCCTTCATACAACCCAGAGATACTCTAAATTATGGTTTGGGATGCCCCATCTAGGATTCAGCAGTCTCCATAAATATGTGGTTTCCTGAGCAAGCTGCTGCTGCTGCTGTCTAAATGAAAATAGGTCGCTCTCAATCCTTATGAAAATGAAGGTGCTAGCTACCTGCTCCCTCTTAAGTGAAGTATGTACAGTATATAAGTTGTAAATGCTATCCCAACTTGGCAAAGTTTTGAAAGGTTGCACCTTTTAAAAGAGCTGGTACAAAGTTTACAATGTTCCTTAGCATCTTTACGTTCCAAACAACAAAGAAATTCAAATCTGGTGATCACCTTTAAATTATAGTAAATGCTACTGTATTAATTGCTGGGTCTGTTACTTAACTGTCTGTCTGTATTGTAGCTAAAGCAGATGGTACCAAGATGACACAAAGAATTCGAATGGAGTCTCCTAAGGTGGATGCTGTCTTTGTTGGAACAGGAGACTTGTTTGCTGCTATGCTTTTGGCATGGACACATAAGCATCCAAACAATTTGAAGGTGTGGGAGAAGTTACGTGTCTCTCTGCAAGTTTAGGCTATGTTTCTTTTTTTTTTATTACTTTTAATCTATGACATTATTTAAAGACTCTCATCTGGTTTGGCTTTTTTTCTTCTCCTCAGAGGATAAAAAGCAGAATTTCCTTTTTGCCAAAACATTTTAGTTTGTACAATTTTGGGCGGTCACATTTCAGTTACATGGTTTTTGTAATTTTGCCAAATAAGATGTTCTCTCTAGAGAGAGAGACTGCATGCATGTTTGTAATTATATTTTTTACCCTCACTTCATAATAAGCACTGAAAATCATTTATCAGATCTATTTTTCTATTTCTTTCCCTTAAGCACATAGAGTCATTGATATGGGTGTATGGTTTCTAATATGTGTTTTGGGAGAATTAAGAGAGTCTAAAGTGTTTTTTTTCCCAAACTCTATATTACATAGTTGTCATCCTGTTTGTGTCTCAGTCATGTTTGCCTATTAATAGCAGCGTTTTTGAAATAATATTAAACTAGGCAGCTGAAATTTTACTAAAACCTGAATATATGATGTTAATGCAGGTGGCATGTGAAAAGACTGTGTCAGCCATGCAACATGTTCTGCAAAGGACCATTAAGAGTGCAAAAGGTAATTCGTTCAAACCTTTTTCCCTTGTTCTGTCTGGATTTGCATCAGAAGAAACATTCAAAGAGCTTTCTGGTTTCCTGACTGAAGGGAGCTCTGTGCAGAAGCAGCCAGAGAATTTACAGAATGAGAGCTTGGTAGTCTTGTCAGTGCATGTTCCTTACTGTGTCCTCCAAGCCTATTTTTGACAACATCCGACTGAAGATGTCACTGTTCAGCTTGTAGTGGCACTACAGTCATGCTGACTGTGCTTGACTGCTTTGCAAAAGAGGGGTGGAAGAAATTGAGGAACTGCCGAGTTTGATGTGCAAGAGACCTTCTGTTTTAAGTGTAGCTCCATCACTTTCCCTTTGAGTGCATGTGTTTAGTATTGAGAGGGGTTTATCAACTAATAATAAACTGTCTGTTTGCTGTGTTGGGCATGTGAGGAGCAATTTTTGTTTCAGCTTCTGTCCCCTTGGAGTTCCCATGTATTTCAGTTCCTAAGGAGATCCAGATGGGATCTGTGGGTTCTCAGAGCATTTCTGTGTCACTTTCTAATAACAGCAGAGCTGTGTTTCTTTCCTGGAGAGAGGTGTGGAAAGGGGTGGTAAGAAATCACAGTGCTGACCTGGATCTTCCACTTTGGAAGCTTTTATCAGGGTAGTAAGGGGGGTTAGTAAGGGAGATAGGGGAGGGGAGGAGCATAGAAAAAAATAGTGGGGTAACAGAACAATGTAACATGTTTCTTTTTATACTGCTGTTTTTAATGACATTCTGATGTCATCTTTTTAGCACAAGCTGGAGAAGGAAACAAACCAAACTCAGCCCAGCTGGAACTGAGAATGGTCCAAAGCAAAAAGGACATAGAAAACCCAGAGATCATAGTGAAAGCCACCGTGTTATAAAGGCTGTATGTCTCCAGTAACGCACAATGTATTGATGTCCTCATTTCTTTCCTGTAAATTGTAATATTTGCCTTAGATCTGTGACAGAAACCTGACTTTCATGAAATAGTGCCCAGCATAGGCAGATACCCACTCTCAAACATATGTGCTGGCCTTGCTCAGTTTTAAAAACAAAACAGTTAGTGTGTATTGAAGCATATTACCAGGTATCAAAATGGCTGTCCAATTCAGTTAGTCTGTGTAATTACCCAGGGCAAGAGAGTACAATGTTCCTGCCTTGCCAAAGACTTTAGATGTGAATTTGCTAAGGGAATGCTTGACTGACTGGAAAATATATTTCAAGATGGCATCTAGTGCCAATGGAGCTGGCTCCATGCTCCCTTTTCCTGGAGATATCTGGTTACCTACTCTGGTATTCAGTATCTCAGCTGCTATGAAACTAAGCAGGGTTAAAACTACACACAAAGTTCTGGTTGTGTGTGGGAGTACTTTGAAGATGTTTGGCATATAAATTCTCTGAAGTGACCTTGAGGTGTCATTCATGTTACTGATAACTGCTCTTGTTTCTTTTCTATGAACAGCTGCACAGCTTCATTTTTTGCAGGTACTGGCTGCTTATTTCTAACGTCTGTAGGTGCCCCCATGATTTTCTTCCAAAAGCTGCTCCAGAAACATCTTCATTAATAACATAATATCTTTATTCAGTAGCACTTATTAGAAATTTGTAGTTCTACCTCCGAGGCCAGGCTGATTCTTTGTTTAGTTTTTAACTAAGGACAAACATCCTGTAAGTACAAAGGAGAAAGCAGCTCTTACCCTGAAAGCTGGCTACCCTAGTTTGTTCTTCATGGATGGATGTATTTACAAACTATGTAGGGCACTTCCACTTAACAATAGTGAGCACTATTGGCAGCCTTACCAATGAAGCAATGTGGCAGAAGTAATTTTTGTAGTTTAGTAAGGTTTAGTAAGTTACATATGTTTGCTAAACGCAGTGAAATATACAAAATTAATTTGTTCATAATGTAAGTCTCTGCAACCTATGCTGATTAGAGATGACAGAAATGCATTCTTATTAATGCATCTTTATTTCAGAATTCTGCTTCATAAGGCTTCAAAATGGGATTCTTAATAATTTCAGCATTCTATACATCACAGCTACATATTATACCAGTAGGGCAGATACACTGACAGGTACTGACCACTCGTACTTCCATGTGATTTCTGTATGGTACTGAGGTTCTTGCTTCTCCTAAGGTGAGGTCTAGTCTGTTGTTAAATCCAAATTAAGTTGATGAGCTTTATTTGTGTCAGACGGCATAGGGAGATTAAAATTGCATTTCTACTTGCAGTGACATGAAGCAAATTTGCATTAGAGGAGAGGGCTGAGTTTTTCTTGATTACCTGAGTATGCTCAGGAAACTCAGTCATGGGTATCTCCCAGATACCTTTCCTGCATCTTCCTCATCACACCTGCCTAACTGATAGTGTCACTTGCATAGCTTGGGAGTCCTGAGGAGAGCTGGTTTGGAGATTGCTTTGGCCACTGAAGTCTTCACTTATCCCACCATTTTTGTGGATTTTCTGCCATTGTAAAAGTTAATTGAGTTCACCTAATAGAAGAGTAATTTATCCTTGAAGTGAATTTTTAGCTGAATAGATTTTTTTCATAGAATAAGATTTCATAATTAATACGTTTCTGAAATCCCTCATTTTCAGTATCTCTGAAGCAAATGAAATTTAAGAGATGAACACATTTTGCAGTAAATGTAACAAGCAAACCTCAGGCTCTCACTCTCAACAACTAATAATAATTTTATTTCCTCTCATGCATTTGGCATTAAAAATGGAAAAAAAAATCACATGACTTGAGAATGTCAAGGGGGGAAAAAAACAAAAACAAAACAGAAATGACCTACAAAATGTGACTCTACTGCCACAGTTTTTAGTAACCACTGCCATGAAATAACTTTCTAGCAATAATAATTTTGGTGATGTGAAGAGTTGCTAAAATTAGCAGTCAGTAACAGAGATGAGCTCGTGGCTGATATCCAACATGTAAAAAGACAAGAACTATCTTAACAGTGTGTGTAAATACCTGATGGGAAGCAGTGAAGAAGGAGCCAGACTCTTCTCAGTGGTGCCCAACGAAAGGATAACAAGCAATGGGCACAAATTGAAATACAGGAAATTCCATTTAAACATTAAAAAACCTTAATTCACTGTGAGGGTGATCAAACACTGGCACAGATTGCTTAGAGAGGTTGTGGAGTCTCCATCCTTGGAGATACTCAAAACCTGACTGAACATGGCCCTGAGCAACCTGCTGTATTTGACCCTGCTTGTGCAGTGGGGTTGGACTAGACGATCTCCAGAGGTCCCTTCCAACCTCAACCATTCTGTGATTCTGTGAAATACAATGAATTGCCTTTCTTGGCAGTGCTGTATTTTTAAATTGATGCAAATATTTTTTTCTTCCTGAGACACAGACTTCCAGACAGGCTAGGAAATAGCTCAGTATTAATAATTTGCCCCTCTTTTAGGTAAGCTGCTTTTTGCTTGGGCAGTTGTGCCAGAAATACAGTTGCCTTTTTTGAGATAGTTGCTTTCAGCAAAAATACTTAAATACTGTAGCTGGTGATGCATTTCAACAGTTGAACACAAAAGTATTTTAACTGTTTCTGGCATTGATTAAAGAAGCGTTGCATGCTATATTCCAAACAGAAGTGTGATTCTATGAGCTGCTATGGGTCACATACAAAAATCTTCAGGTGGCCGAGCTTTGAGACCTCTACTGGTTCCCTCGGATTGCCAAGAACTAGATGAATCCCAGGAGCAGTTCACATGCAGTAAATGACGTTTGATTTCTACGGTCCCATGGCTCCAGCACAGATCTTAGCTGGGTCTGGAACTGGCTTCTGGTACACTGTCTCCTATAGCCAGGGCTGTGGATTGCCCAGCACCCCCTGCACAAGCCTTAGCTTCATTGCCAGTCACATAACATGGCCTGGCTTGGGAGCTGCCTGGGGCCAAATTGAGAGCCATATGGTGGCCATCACTGCACTAGTGCAGTGCAAAATTGAGAGTCTTCAATTCTTCACATCAGAGGATCAACAGGAGAGAGAAGCTCAAAATTGACCTTTTAAAACTTTTTTAAGCAGCAATAGCAGTCAAAATTTGCTGTCAAAGAAACCCTACCTGTTGTAAGCATGTACTACAGAAAAGTCCTTTTAGTAAGTGTTAGACAGCACAATTTTTTTTTTTGCTTTCACAAGGGAATTGAGAGAAAGGCAAGGGCTGGTCTTTCTGAAATAAAGCAGCTTGGAATTTAGGAAACTTAAAGCTATCTTGCAAACAAGGTTTTATCTGTAAACCATAATGAACCATGATCTTACCATAAAAAAGAAAGCTATATATTTGTTGGAGCAGCTTATACCTTTCAGGTGTGATCTTTTCCCACTGCTTCAAAGAATGGATCAGTTCAGTAATTCACAGCTTCCTTAGAATCTGTGACATACCCATGTTAAAAAAAAAAAAAAAAGGCATGATGATACTAATGTGCTCAATTTGCAAAAGTTCATATTTTGCAGTAGCTAGATTCTGTAGCAATGGGCTGCTAGCTGCTTCTGCTTAAGTCCCCAGGGAGTTGCTCATGTGATACCTGTTTTAAACTCCTACTGACCTGATCTAAATTGGGTCAGGTTTATGTCTTCAGTGAAGAATTGGGCTTAACATCTCTTGCCAGGAACAAACATCAGAAATTATCTGTAAATATATTCTGTAGCTAATGTTTTGTAGTCACAACAGGCTAACAGGTATTTTTAAATGTCAAGGTATACACACTTAATACTTGGATGCTTTTTTATTTGTTCAGTTACACAGCACTTTTTCATGTTTGCAGAACAAAATTCAAAGACTCAGCACAATTCTGTCCAATCTTTTATTCCCTCCTTTCCTCCTGCATATAATAATCTGTATCTGTTTCTGAGTTCCTACTGTCTTTCTGGTGCAGCTGGAAAGTGTCTCTGTATTAGACAGCTGCCCACTACTTATTTAAGGGCTTGGAGGAGACTTATCAGGGTTGTGTGATCCATTTGCAGATCCTTAGGTAAAGAAAAATGGTTAGTCTAAACTAGTTTAGGTCCCAATTGATTACAGAAGAACAAGCACTTTAGCCCAGAGAGTGGAGTCAATAACTAATGGATAATCTTCCATGACCGTCCTAACAGCATGCAAGGTGTCTGTAACCCACCAGTCCAGCATTCACCAGTTAGGGACTGCTGACTTCTTTGCCACACGTATGCCCATGTGTATGTGTGAAGTTAGCAGCAAAGGACGCTTCTAATGGTGAAGTGTACATACACATGGGAACGGTGAATCCTTTGTGTTTGTGTCCAGTCGACTTCTGCACTGTTCGTTCTTTTCGCTTACTGGAAGTAATTTCTGCTGGATCCCTTTTTTCTGGAATGAACTTTCCAGTGTATGTGGTCAGCCATTTTGATTACTGCAAGTGCACTCATTTGTGGACCTGTGGTGCAGGAGAGACCAAAAGTTTTTTAGAAATTATCTACTCTATTCTGGGCCCGGATTAGTCTCTAAATGCTTAAAATTGACATGTACCTCTTTGGGAGACATGCATAAAGACGTGCTAAAATCAATGCTATTCATACTCTATATAAACATTTAAGAAATCTGCAGTATGAATTCTTAACATTAATGTTTGTTTGCTGATTTTTATCATAAGCAGGAGAAATCTATAATCAATGTGTTATACAAAAGAATCGGAGGACCAAGGTTTCTAGCTACTCGTACTACCTTTTTGAGTATCTTAACTGTGTCTTGATTGGTGTTAATTTGTTGTCTGAGACTGTTACAGTGATTGTATTGATTCATTTTAAAATATGTGGCAAGGAAGATTGTAATAAAAGCATCTACATTTAATATACCATGCACACACAAATTATTAGATCCTATTTTTGAATATGTTAATCATTTCAGAATTAAACAGAACAAGAA